TCCGTTGTTCTAAGACGGCGTCGTATACCGCAGGAATTTCTAAATCTTCATAAGATAATGGATCGCTCTGCAAAAGAAAAGGACCTCGGGCTTGGGAACTTTGTTGAATTCCTGACTCGTAATTAATAAAATTACTTTTTGGGAGCTTTCCCCGACTTCAAAGAATTTAACATAAAAGAAAAAAGTTAAGTAGATGAATTATTTTTGAATGATAAAGAGAATTATTTTAGATATTTATACACTTAGAGTTAGAGTTATTCTTTGTGCAAAGTTTGTATTTGAATAGCTCAAGGGATGTTTTGATCCAACATAATTTAGTTGAAAAAATATTATCATATAAAACTCTTAATCTTTAGTCTTTTGTAGTATATTGTCGTATACATATTTATTAATTTATCCCTTAAAGGATTTTTGTAGTATCTTTATTCCAATCAATTATTACTATGTGAGGTCAATCTTGATGAATTATTATCTATTAGTTCAAATGATAACGACCCGCATCTCTGAAGTGCAATGACACCACAATTACATGTGGTTGCATTTGTAAACGCCCTCATGAAAATTCGTTTCGCAAATTTAAATCGTGTAATGATATAACATTTTCGTGATGATACTATGAATGTAAATTAAATTAATGTTTATCAGTTAATTTTAATTGTAACTTATTATGAAAAGTTTCTCTTTTTTCAAATCAACGGATCTGTGAGGTTAATAAAGTTTCATTCTTAACTTTTATTTTGTTCTAAAGAGACTTTAACATACGAATGTTTACAACAAATTGAAACGGGCTGAATTCAGTTTATGCATTTATAATTACGTATACACCGAACAGTATCTTAATTCTTTAAGAAATGTTAATCCTTTAATAAAAGAAGTCAAAAATATACTAAAATGTAGTTACCTCGAACAAAATCTATGTAAACTGGCTACGCTGTCAATATACATTATTAAAAATTTCCATATAATTTTCCGTACTTCATTCACATATTCAACGTTTATTTGACCGGCCAGGGGAATGTCACCCTCGCATATCATTTTATTATTTACCTGCGGCACATAGTCATGACTTTATAATGTATCAATAATGTCGATAAAACGTACGCCGCCAGCCATCTCGAAGCCACCTGTCACTAAGGGAACATTTATAATAATTTTCGTCAAGCTAACGCTCCATAACTTATATGGGACATGTTTATTATTGATTATTATAACTCGCCTTCGTAATACAATAAAAAATAGCATCGCTAGTTTACAGCAGCAAACAATATTATTGAAAGCAAACTTTTCTGAATGAGTTGTATTATTGCAATTTAGAAAGGTAATATGAGCCGCTTCTTTTGAAAAAACAATAACCCGAGCTTACGATGAAACCTTTATACAAAAGAGTCGCTCAATGAAGTTGCACGTCGAAGAATTTCCATGCAATAACGGCTTCGCTTCGGGATCCTTGCTACGTCGGAGATATTGCGTACTTACTGGGCTTGCTTTCTAATAACACCAACGATACCGCTTATGTAAGAAAAATACGAAATGAAATGGAGAATACAGCCGGCTTTCAACCTCAACTATCAATATACATGATCTTATTTTCCTTTTAATATACATCCCTAATGGAAAGATATTATGAATACAAATAATAAAATCGAACTGATGTATTTTTCATTTCAGATTCTGAAATAAATGTTGCTATCTCTTTCTTATTTATACATTCCTTTGGATATATATTTTAAGATTAATTTTATTCGTATGTTCATTTTTAAGGTATATTTAGACAGTAAATTCGACTTATTCATACAACATTCGTCTTATTAATGATTTTGTTAAATTATTATCCTGGTGATGGTCTTGGAAGCTAATGTTCTCAATATTAAAAATTTATATAGTTTTAATTATAAAAATTGTTTAGATGTGTTTGTTGCAGCAATAGCACAACAGCTTGAAATGTAAATAAAACTGAAAACTTTAAAATGACAACGGTGTTTGATAACACATGGGACTAAAATGCAAATGCACGAATAACTTAGACGAGAGAACGAGTCGCTGCTGAAGAATCTGCACATACGTATTCCACCAACTAATCTAATTATTTACAGCCAGATTGCTCCACTTCCATGAATTGTTTTCATAATTTCTATAATCTTAATAAACTCCTTAAATAACTTAGCTATATTAAGAAAATACTTTATTATGGTAGGTATTATACAAAAGAATCTTGATAAAAATGGTCATCGCCTTTTGTTTATACTCTGAAATACATTGGAGTATTACGTAACTTATAATAATAATTTGTTACAAATGTTTATAACGTGGGTAAAGGAAGGGATTTTCTAAATATTAAAACATTAATGGGGAGCCCCAAAGCTCTGCAAATACCATGCGGCTAGACTAATCACATTAGCGGACCTAGTAGGTAATGTCGGTTACCTAAAAGGCCTAATTTGAATACCAGACGAACCACATATCGAAGTTGTATTAAGAGCTGCAACTATTAATTGATCCCAAATGTATATAACTCTTATTGGTAACTTTTCGAAGAACACTTATAAAGATTAAACTACTTTCTCGAAAAGAAAAAATATTTTTACCTCTTCTATTAAATAAAATATTTTTTAATACCAGGAAGACAGTAGTCGAATTATGTAAAAAAAAGTGTATCAAATTTCAGTACAATCAGTTGTCTTAAGTACCTTGAAGTTTACTTGAATGGAGGGTCTTTTTGTCTTTTGGCAAATCTTTATTAAATGAGGGTCAAGCATTTTAATTCTCTCAAATTGTGTACTCATTCAATGTTTATAGACAAAAATAAAATATTAAAGTAAAAAATTATATCATTATTTACAATAGAACCGTTTTTATTTATATACTAACAGAAAATGTATTTTGTGAGATTTAATAAAGCCCTTTAAATTCTGAACATTTTCCTGTTCATTGAACTTCTGAAGTTATTATGGATATATTAATTTAATTTCATAAATAGCTTATATTGGATTTTGAGATTACTTTATTGACTACTAGCAAAATATTTACTTTCATTATACGTTAAATATTGAAATATACGAATATTTACTGTATGATATGGATTTATTACTTTGATATATCAGTTTGCAGCAATAATATTGCGGAATCAGGAGGAATAGTTCAGAGAAAATAATACTGGCATGTATGACTCCATCAACTTAACATGACAGTAGAACGGAAAGCGGAGGTTGCGGAGGGTTTACGCACAAAGTTTTCCCCATAAGCTCACCGCAGGACGCTCCCCTATCAATTGCCTCCCCCTCCTCCTCCCTCCACCTCAACCTCCCAGCCCCAAGGCCTCACTAATGATCCCACTTGTTAGGGATCAGTGTGGACCTTCGACTGTGTCACACGATGAATAACAAATTATAACTTCATCCCGTTATGTAATAGCTACGTTTTAAAGCTCTGGCTTAGCAGGTGACTGGTGCCTAAAAACCACCAAGTAATTATTAAATTATCTTTTGCTACTTTTTCGTCATACATCTCTTATTAAATAACTTACAGATGCTTAAACTATGCTTAGTCAACATTGTGTATTAAATCTATTTTAAGTAATTTAATGTATTTCTAATATATTTTGTACAAAGAAATAGCTTTGTGCACGTCTACGTACATACTTTGACTATGTTAAACTTCACGTTCATTCCTCTTAAAAGAGGATACAAAGTCTTCTCTTTGCGTATTAATATTATGATAATATACTAATACAGAGTTAAATTATTATCTTAAATAAGATAAAACTTGTTATCTTGTGGTTTATATTATATTTTTTAATCATAACTCATAATTCCTCCAAATAATTGGATGCAAAATAGATTCAAGTAACGAATTCTTATTAATTTTGTAAACATTTATAAATTCAAATGAATGTAACATAAAATTAACGGTTTGAATAAGTTATTCTTTAAATGACCACTTCTATTCGGCATATAAACTTAATGATATAATTGTGTAAAAAGAAACGTTGACTTGAAATAATTATTTTCTTGTACATAAATTTGTTATTGTGACATTTCTTATATAACTGAATCATGTGAGCAAACTAGTCAAAGTAACGCTCTGTGTGCTATTAGTCACAATCCCTGCCATAGTAATATGATAATATACTTTAAAAGGCTTTTTACTACTTTTAAAAGTCATGTCTTAAAAATAAAGTAAAACAGGATGTAACCAACGCTCGCGTGCAAGCGACTTTTTAACTCTCTTTCCGTAACACGCTCCTTACCTTTTTAGCAGACTTTAACACATTGTTTAAAACGTGTATTAAGTAATGTTTAGCGTGTTCACTCCTCGTCATTAATACATAAAACATAAATATAACATCAAATGCATGTCACTTAGCTTACTTCCAATTATTCGTATATAAAAACTTACGTGCCAGGCACGCTTGATATTTATTTTTAAAACTATACAATAACATACTCTTTCTTTCTAAGATATCCCATTATTGAATTCATTTATATTACAAGGCCCTATGATTTCTATTTAAAATGGAATTTCATTGTTTTTTGTTTGTGAAATATATTTTGTATTTATTGTTAAACAAATTTAAGGTGGTAAAAACATTCATATTATACTATTGAATTTACTCATCGAGTACCTAACAGCCTAAAAATTTATAATGAAAACAAAATACTAATAAACATTAATAATCTGTACGGCCTGTTTTGTTTTCACCTCAAAATGAAATAATCCGCTGTATCAGCGTAACCACTTGTCAAAAAGCCTGCGTTAATAATACAACAAACAAAACAATGTTTAAAGGCAAAAAATAAATGTTTGCGTTGTTTTAATACGTTTCAGTATAGGGCTGATAATAAAGTCGGAACTATAAAACAATGGCGAAACTTTTAAGTATTAGAAACCTCTGTCTTATATTGAACATATTGTACGCTATTAGTGATATATGTAATAAAAATAAAATCTTTTTACTTAGATTTAATGTCTTTATTGCATACTGGGAGGTAATGTGTACGTACTGTCAAATTGTTGAGTAGCTTGGGCTAGAAGTGAAGCGAAAACTCTATCGTCGAGTTGAGGCGGCTTCTGCGGGCGGTCTTCATCACTGCTGCTGTACCTGTCTCCGGCCCACTCTAGAGATCTCTGACGACGAACAGACGGAGTACCAGTCGGCAGTCCCGCGGATAAACCACTCAAAGAGCCAGCCTTAGCACGACGACCCGCCCGCTCCATTGTTAGATTATTATGCCATTTTAATCTGTAATATAAATAAACCAGTTAATAAAATACTACAACCTAAATAAAAATATAGCAGTCTAAAACGTCCATGAAAGAACATCTGGAACAAAAGTATAAAATAAAAATCAACACGATATTTTACCAAAGTGGTAACGACGTCGTGAACGGAAAAGAACAACTGTAATAAAGAGCCTACAAGTTGTTTGGTTAGCGACCGAACATAAATAGGAAGTTGGTAAGGGCGTGCGTGTTAGAGGCCTAATCCATTGGATTGCACCCCGGCATCGCCCGCTACGTTTGCCAACAATCGGACCGACGTTTCTTATTGACTCAGTATCGAAAGCTTTGTACCGTCGCTTGTTTTCCACTATTTAATATTAATACAATTTATGTAAATGGAAAAAGTTAGTATCTCTAATAAAATGTTGTTTTTACAATTTTTCGATTTCATTCCAATAGAAGACCCCGAACATTTTTACTCTTGGACACTTGTGAAAATATTATTTTTTACTTGCTGCTGAGTTTTGAATTGAGTTCTTTTTTCAGAATAATTGCTTCGTAAAAATATCTCCATACTTTTCTGAAGTATAATAAATCTTGATATAATAAGCGTACACCTACATATAAATAGGGATTTTAAACTACTTAAATTTCAACTAGGTAATAATATTTTTATCATTTTATGTTTTCAAATCTACAAGCGTGAATTATTTTATTTGAATTGTCTAAATTTTTTAATCACAAATGTATATAAACTAAGACAGCAAGATTACAACGCATCTGGAATTTATTACTTATAAAATCCGCGCGGACTGCAATTGTTAAGGATTGCTGAACTCAATTCTCATTTCGTATCGACAAAATAAACACAGGCAGTTTCATTAGAAATTTCCGACATCACGTAGAGTTATTAATGTTTAGATAGAACGTTTAATTAAAATTTCATAATTGAAATTCATTTTAAGTTTTCAGAATAAGATATTATGAATTAAATATTTTTTATATAATTATATTATATTTTACAAATATGATCATAAACTATAAATTTATATCCGACGTTTTAATTTTCTCGCAAGCACAGAAGCGAAAGAAAAAGTTATGGACCTAATTACGTAAGGATTTAATTGTTTTTTTTTAGACATAATATTATTAATAGATGTGTCACATTAAAGAGTGTCCAATGTAAATTTTAATATCAACTCCTCTATATATTTTTAAGCGGTGTCAGTCGTCGGTGGCTAATAGCCTGCCTGATGGACCGCTCGGTTTAATATAAAGTAGATTCCCTGTTTACTCGCCTGTGTCGCAGCGTTAATAAATTCGCTGCTTCCTTCAAACTCCCGTCTGTCAACCTTCTCACTCAATATTTACTCTCATTATACACATTCAAAACGCTATATTAAAGTTCTGACGTTCGTATATGTAATGAAATCGTTTTTTTTTTGTATATATAAATAGCGCTTTGATGTAGCTTCTTTGCGTTTTGCGTTCAGATGTGGAATCCGATTAATTCTATTTCATTTTAAGCTTTACAAAACGATAAAAATATATATTTTTAAGTTGCTTATAATAAAAGTTTGCTAGGTGATAAATAAATACTTGTTGTATTAATAAATAGTAATATTTAAACTTCGGAGAAGGCAAACGAATAAACATCCGCTAGAAGAAAAAAAGGGTTCACTACAACAAGCAAGTAGAAAATGTGTTGTCCGAAATATAAAGGCCACTGACAATTTTGTGAATTTATTTCCTTCTGAATCACTTTTTCATGGCGTTTCTTATATAGACTTTTATCAGTCATATTACGTATTTTTAGTCATTATATTTATTTTCTTTTTATTAAATTATTGTCAGTTTACTTACGACTCTAACTAAAATTGTCCTTAAAATATTTAATATGTACTTCTAAGCAAAGCCAACATCAGTGTAATTAATTCTTGTTCTTTTTAGGTAACATGCTGAGATGCTGCGGACATTTCTCGAAAATATTTGTAAGATATGTAATACACCAACAATATTTAAGTTAACATTGGAGCTCGTTGGTAAGACGAGCTACTTTTTTTCTGAAACAAACTTTATATAGTTTTTTGATTTACTTAAAATGAAGACTATTTTTGTGCCTTTAACTGTGAGAAATAATTCTCCCTTTATTTTTTCTAAGGACTTAAAATTTCTAAAATATTTTTTTTTTAACTAAGTCTTTGTTAACTTTAGTTACTTCTAAACTTTCTTTGTAAACCTTACACCAAATTTAATTTTAAATTATATAACATTAAAAAAATATCTTTAGCTGACCAACTAGCTATTGCAGTATCAATTGATCAGTGTCTATGTCTTAAAATTGGTTATTATTATGGTATTTTGGTCACTTAGTTTTTATTGATTTGTTCATATCCACAAAAATATAGCTAGTACTTATATATGTACTAATATGTAGTAATATATATTTTATATCTACTTTCGTCTAATGATGATATCAAGACCGGGTTTGGTAATAATAAAAAACAAAATTAAGTAACTTTAAGAGTTATAATAAGTTTAGTTAGTTATTTAAGTCAGTCCTTTAATGTTTCAATAGTAATAAAATTTAAAATTCTCAAATGATAATAAAATTTCAGACTTATAAAGCTCGAAAATATACTTAAATTATATTTCCTAACTCCATAATAGTGGCGGGTTTGTTTGGTTAGAATGAACCCGAAAATTTTCACAAAAGCTGCAGACCGATGTGGATACAATGAGAGCAGATTCAACGTTACTCGTTTATCTGATGCTAGGTTAGCATCTCCGGCCATGCATAATTTAGAATCTTTTTAACTTAATATAACAAATTTTATCTTTATAAAAATACGACGTGCATTTTTAAATTTAAGTTAGACGTATACTTCCATTTGTGAGTTAGGATTAAGTTACAGTAAATAGTAATTAGTAAAACATTTAATGTAAGCTCACTTTAATTTAGGTCTTTTCCAAATTTTTTCATAGTAACTTATAACTAGGATATAATTTTAAAATCTCCATTCAGCATCCCAATCTAACAGAATCTCTCAACTAAACTTATCCTAGCATCTGCTACCATCAATTCAAACTGGATGGATAGTTATTAATGGTATTGTGCTAGAATTTCTGGTTTGCGAACCACTAATAAATATTTGTCGTGTCTTGCCAATTTCCTACAAATCTGTCACGTTTCTATATTTCTCCATTGCAATTTCAACGAGACTACTTAAATAGCTTCATATATAAAATCATTAAAAAGTACAAAAACTTTGTTACTGTTTTATAATATTATAAATTACAAAAATTTATCTAACCTTTTTTGTTTTGTCTTGGACTGAATGCCAAATGTTTCAAACTTAATAAATAGGTCTATAAAAGTTAGTACTAATTAAAATAAGATGATTAGCTTTTAGTTGAATAAGTGTTTAAAAACATAATTATTCTAATACCCTTGCATGAAAGTAATTATTATTAACAATTCTTTTTTTTTGTTTACATTTTCACCGGCACATGAAATTTTTCACAATAAATTGTAGTTGTTATGATGTATTTTACATAATAAAACTACTTTGTCCCAAAACAAAGAATTTTTCAATGATTGTGTTATAACATTTAATAAAAAAAATCATCGCTGCAACTACTAGTGTTTTACAAAATCAATTTAAAACAGGAAAATATATTTTGTCCATTAATTATTATTTTTATTTCTTTGTAAATATTTGCAACTGACTAAAAAACATTTTTTTTAATGATTTAACACAGTCAGTTGCTTTGAAGACCCATAAATTTCAACGTTTTACAGCACAAGCAAAAGTTATAAATTAATAATTAATTGGAAATTTTACTTTGCAAGAAGCAAATTTAAAAAGCAAAATAATCGAGAACATAGGTAGTAATCAGAAGCAATGCTTTTTATATACAGAGACTGTTTTGTGGTTAATAAATAGGCAAAAGAAAGGTCTTTGAATGAAGACCATGTCTCGTAAAAAGACTGATGACCTGATGAAGATAGTGGAAAACTGATGGCTCCAAGAGGCCCCGACCCAGATTAGGTAATGAACTTGTTAGAAGACAGGTCCACGCGTAATCTTAGAAAGCCTTATAGATTAAATGTTAAATTGTATATCTTAAACTATAGTGTTTATTACAAAACAAATATAATAATTACCATACAAAAGTCGGTTTTCATATCATCAGAACATTTGTAATTAATTAAATAATATTTAAAATTGAACTGAATTATATCTTTATTCTTTTATCATATTTTTATTGAAATAAATTATAAAATATTTGTACCAATTAACTACAAACAAAAATTATCAAAAATTTAATTTGTCTATTTGAAATCAATGCCTTTTGTGGTTTTTTTCATGTTCATATTTGTAAGCTTGTATTCAAAATTTGTTCTCGTGTAGGTTAACAAAAATGAATGTATTTCAAATTATTTTACAGTGAAAAATATTTGGTATACTATACTATTGTATACGGCAGAAATGATTTTGAAACTACCTATATGTGTCAGTATATCAATACACACGTATTTGTATGAAAAAACACATATTGACCTAGCATTGGTAGAAAACCCTTTATGAACTAACAACGTTAAAACATTTACATGTGACATAAAAATATTGTCCACTGTATTCTTTATTATATAACACAAAGAATATTTTTAACAGTAACACAGATGTATGAAAAGTAGATAAAACAATTCGGTGTAAAAAAATATTATATTTTTTAATAAAATTCAATTGTTTCACAGTTTTTCTTACTATTCAATGAAATATTAAGGTGTCTAGTCATACAAAAATAATTTAAATGGATTCAATTCTTAGTTTTTTAAAAGTCAAAAACTTTAAAAAGAAATTTCCACTCGCTTGTGAAATTCAGAACACTTAGATTTCAATTTGAATAAAATATTGACAGACTAAGAAAAGAACAGAGTCAATACTCAATTAAAGTTTTTAACTATTTTATATTTGTATAATGTTTCT